CAGGACAGAATGCCACAATATCTAATCCATGTATCTGTATTAAGTGTCTCTCATACGACCCTTTCTCAAAGAAACATTCTGAACAAAGTTTACACACAAATGTTTGCCAGTTAATATTTGATAAATCTGTAGGTTTCTCGCCTCGAAGCGGACTAGATGTGTGTGAACGACAGGTCTTAACGTCCCCACTTATAATATGTTTGGAGTGAAGGTCAGCATCACCAATAGTTTCCTGTGTTATTAAAGGCAGAAGCCCTCCTGGCATCACCCCTAGAAAGATAAACAACACTAACTGTAGTGGACATCTCACAATCCCAGTTCTCACATCTACTCTGTCCTCTTCAAACAGAATAAAATCAACTACAAATAGATCAAGATCCTGTGTGGAAATTTTACACTTTACCATCTCAATGTAAGCATCACATTTTTATTAATTCTTACTTTCTCTATAAAAACTGAAATGTCCAATAACCACTTGAACCATCTAAAACCAGTTTCATCTCTTGTGAATCCACCTAATATTTTTACAATGATACATCCAACTATTGTCAAATATCCCTAAGCCATCAATCACATGGTTCACTCTTGATCTTATTCTTGAAGTTTCATGCTCCACAACAGATGACCAATGACCCATCCAGACAAACGGATGAAGTGGATCTAATGTGCCCCAACAGGAAGTGGATACTATGTGCCCAAACAGGAAGTGGATCTATGTGCCCCAACAGGAAGTGAATCTTATGTGCCCAAACAGTAAGTGGATCTTATGTGCCTCAACAGGAAGTGGATTTTATGTGCCCCAACAGAACATGAATATGATTAAAGTGAATCAAAATTTATTCATATATAGATATATCACATACTGCTTTATAACTAATAAATAACATGATAGTTGTACAATACCCAGTTCAATCTAGTTTGATATAATTCAACCATGATCAGTCTGATTCGATTCCATTTCACTCGTGATCAATCTGTTCTAAATTCTCTGATGATCAATATGATTTTAAGTCATGTTTGGTAACAAACAGGTTGAAATCTCAACTGAGAGTGTCTTGATAATGAATGGCAGCGATAACAGGCTGGAAATACATATTCAGTCTTGTGGCTGTGTTGTTTATCAGGGGAATTCCATTTCAGTTTTAGCATAGGATTCCTCATCAGTATGCTGGCCTTGGGTATAAACAACTGGCTGATTATCCTGTACATATGTTAGAAGAGCAGGGTACGAGGGGGATGGCTGATGAGTGGAAGAGCCAGACTTCATGTAGTGACCATGTATGGTATTCCGTATACCCTTATCAATGGCAACTGTACAATCAGACCACATCCTCTTAGCAGAGTCCCCTGAACCCAATGGGAAGTATTCAAACACCAGTTTGTGAATCATATTAAGTTTTTTAGGACAGATGGCCTGCTTTCCTTTCCTACCGAAACAGTTTCTACCTCTCATTTCATCATTGTTGTAGAAATATCTAGCGAGTCTCCAAGCAAAGTTTGGCCGCGATGAAGATGATCTGTTTATTTCAGAGATAACATTGTAATCCAAACTTGCAAGATCTGGTGATAAGCGTGACAAATAATTTAAAGGTTGCCCTGCTCGGCTGTAGAGAGTCAACAATCGCGGAGAGCTACCCGAGTCGTTGTGAGCAGATGTCTTTACAGTGATAGAATCCAAAGAGTTTTCAAGGTAGGACTGAGCTAGCGAGTACTGATCACTGCTTGCCCCTGCCCCAGGTAGGTGACCTGAAACAGGACACAAGACTGGATCACTGCATGTGGAAGCTTCTTGCCCTTCCAGATAATCACCTAAAATGTCATTGCTAATGGTATTCATTTCAGTGCACTGGTATTATCACATGCAGATCTGTACTATATTACAATTGCAACTTGTCAATTTAATATTTCTTGTATATCAAAGAAACTTATATAACAGAAATTTGGTACAACCCTCACTTTTGTTTATCTTTGTTTATGAAAGTAAATTCTGTGTTAAGAGTAATTACTAATATGTTAAATGTTACAATTCTTGGATGAAAATCCACATGAATGTTCAGAATACCCAATATCAATCCAAAATCAATTGAAATTATTCCAGTACAGAAAGAATATCTCGGACCACAATCAAACCAACCACATCAGGAAAATCAAAACATCCCTGTATACTAACAACATCACAGCCTCTGAAGTTTGTGTCTCCTGGCGACACTCTCTATATCTGGGTACACATACATGTAAAAACATATATATGTTTATAGCATATCATTACCCAGCCCCCAACCCAAACAACTTAATTTTTAGGCCTCAGTCCAATTCCAATGGATTTATGAGGTATCCAGGGTTTATAATGTGTTTCACCGAAACTGACAGTGTTTGGTGCGGGTTGATCTCTTCCCAATAAAGGTAAAAACATTGATATACACATGGACAGATCAGAGAATCAAGCTTCTTGCTCCTTTCCTTGCCATACAATGTATTTTCAAACAGACATGTTTCATTTTTGAAATACTGCACGGAAATTTCTTGTAGTTTTTGTGAACTTTGTGAGGAATTTGATTCTTCTGATCTGATTTTATGTGCATGCAAACTCTAATGTGATGGTGAAGATTTTAAATCATTGAAATGGTATATTTCAGAATTTCTGAAATTCTTTATAGAAATGTCTTCTTCAATACCACACAGCGTTTACATGTACCAACATGCACGTATTCTTGTGGTTAACTTACCTGCCTTAGCCAATCCTAGTCCCTTGCCAAATTAATTTTTTAATTCTTTTTTTAATATCTTAGATTTGTGCTCTGGATCAATTTTAAATGATGATCTAAATATAATCATTGTTGTCATGGATACTAACATTCCTGAATTCTCATTGCTGATAAAATGTCAACTTATTTTTCTCTATTGTACCTCAAACATATGCAGTATTTCACACAAAAAAGTAAATTTCAGAACGATGGTTTCAACATATTTTGTAAATCAAACAATTGGACAGATATTTTTGGCAAGGGAAGGTATATTGTGGCTTGGTCCACTGCATTCATGTGTGTTTCACCAAACAAAGCATATGAACGAAAGTTTTATTTTAACAAAGGTTCAAAAATCATTATCAGAAAACAATATTTTCTTCATCAAATTCATATGCTTCATTTGAATTTGTCATTTTAAATGTGTATAGATGCGAGTACATAGTTTCAACCTTTGAATTTTTGGGATAATGATTAGTAGGATCTTTTAGAGATTTTTCAGTATTGATGTTTATCAAGTATATAAACAAGACTTTAAGGGAATTATAAAAATCAATTTTAACACCACAAAGGTTGAAACAAAATATCAAAATCACTTCTTCCATCCTTACTGGGAACCAACATTTGTTAAACATTTCATCTAAAATCAATTAAAGCTTTTATCTCTTATTTTCTTTTACATCGTCTATGAAAATTTCTATCAGAAAATGTATCTGTTGGTTCCCAGTGTACAGGAATAAAAATGTTCATGTAGGACATCAGTACTTTCTTGCAAGACCATCCACTTGAAGAGGATCTATTCCAAAATGTATAATTACATTTCAAAATTAGCATATCTTCTTATCAAATGAGCTTGTTTTTTGAAAGTACCTTTATTTCAACATCAAAAGCTTCCCAATTTAATTTTTCACAAAAACTTGAGGCACTAGCATTTTTCATTTCTTAAAGTGAAAACTTCCTAGTACTTTCAACTTTCCGTAATAAATTAAAATGAAAAAAAATACAAAATCTTGCATAATAAATTTCCTATTGGATGGAAGAGTGCTTTGTTACCTTTGTCATAATCCACTGAATTACTAACATCTTTTTTGGTAACAAATTTGATGATCGCTTCATTAAACATTTGATATCAAGACATTGTCTTTATCAGATTATACAAAGGTAACAAAGTGCTAAACAGAATCAACATGACTTAAAATTTCATTCATTAGTGTCCCTTGCCGTTTTTGTCGGTCTTGTGTTTCGATCACTGTATCACTCAGTGCCAAAGTATCTCCAAAGTTCTTTTTATATCAAATATACTGACTAAAATTCATTTTTTGATCTCATCTTATTTTCTTCATTTTCTTTTCAAATCTTGACAATTATATATGGACACTGATGAAAAAACATTTCAACATTTTTCAACATAAAATCAAAACCAGAATGAACTTGTTTGCAATAATTAAATGTCTGAATTTTAAATAGCATCATTAATTTTTTAAAATGAAGTCCAGTATTAAAATTTTGGAAAGGTCCTTTGTGGTATTAGGTAATATTTCCTCACCCTACTCGTATAAACCCTACAATTACAATTCCTTGTTCATGTATTTTTTATATAGCTGTCTTAAGCCTTTCAATCTGCAATAAGCTTTCATGAATAACATGTTACACTTATCTTCCTAAATCTTTTTTAATTTGTAGACATTCCATTCTGGTTTTGATCTGAAACAGACCTTCAAAAGACTTCTGGAGTACAATGATGCTCTTTTATACAAAACCCTTTTAACCTTTGAAAATCTACCTTAATTTTTATTTTAAATTCACTTGGATCCCTTTATGCCCATTTCCTGAAATATCAGTTTCCCTCTGCCAGATATTTTACAATTTCAGAAGTAGATTTTCCTCTTAAAAAAGTTTTTCTTAGATTATAACCTGAAAAAATTGATATGGGTCAATTGCTTTAACTAAACATACTTTCATTTATCTTTTATATCGAGTGAGGTGTTTGTCAAATTTTCAAACATACCTAATCCCATTTCTACTCCTATTAAAGCTTACACTCAAACATCCCTAATCCCATTTCTACTCCTATTAAAGCTTACACTCATTGTGCAAAACTTCAAGAATCAAACATTCCACCAAGTTTGAAATAATTTTTAAAGTACAAGAAAACTACAACTAATTCTGAAGTTGAGAAGAAACATCAAAAAGCTTCCAGAAATGTTTTAAATCCATTTCATCAACTACTTAAGTGAGAACTGGGATGAAACCTACCTTTCATTGTATTGAGGTACCATGCGTTTTGATCTCCACTTAAGTTGCTGCCTTCATTTGAGCCCTCCATTTCCCCTGGAGGTTCTTCCACATCATAGTCACTGCCACCTTCATACGTTTGTTCGCCATCACCCTCCATTCCATGGGGATGCACCTCACCATCGTCACCAGTGTCTACATACATATCTAATGCCCCTGTCTCATCTTTGTCTGTAGATTCAATTTTGACTATACTTATGTCCGGGCCTACTAAATCAACTGTTGGAGGCCTAAATGGGAGAGAAAACAAGAATCAGTAACATTTACACTAAAAGTCATCAGTGGAAGATTCCCTCAAACCGAGTTTCTGAAGAATTACTTTTTTCATGACTATTGTGCAAGTATAAACATTTTTATTAAAAATGGACAGTACATCAAAAGTTCAACATATATATCAAGGGTTGCTTCCTTCTTAGCAATTGACTAGTAAGACCACTATCTTGTCCTCACAAAAAAACCATTTGCTTAGTATACTGACCTTTCTTCTTTCATACGTTCACCGGAACCAGGCCTCTCCACACTCTCAGACCTTGAGGTTGATGGTTGTGATTTGCTGTTTGGAGAGGCCGATAGACTGAATGAGGTGTCTGGAATGACAGGAGAGACAGGAGGTAGACTTGTAATGGGACTACTAGAAGACGAGGAGGTGTTGATGTGAACAGGGACTGACTGGTTTACTTGACCAGCACTACCCGCAGCAAATGGTTTCGACTGTTGAGTGTTGTTTTGCTGACTGCTCATTTGCATCCCTGGGAACACAACATCGGAGGGTTTTGGCAAGTTTGTTGGGAAAGCATCTGTAGCTTTTTGTAGACTTGTTGGGAACACATCAGATTTTTGTTTAGCTGCAGTAAAATCCATGTCAATTAGAGCTTGTGGAATAGAAGGATATTGTGAACTGGATTGTTTTTGTTGTTGCTGCTGTGGTTCAGATGAAAACTGATTTTGCATGGATCTCTGTATGTCTGAACGAGGCATTTGGGACATAGTTCTATCAGATGAAGCTCGTGATAAACTTGGCATAGGAATGTCACTTCTCATGGACTGGGATGATTGTTGTGATGAAAATGAGGAATGCATAAATGACCCTCGCGAGTCACGAGCAATGGGTGTAGATGTGGTATGCGTAGCTGTTGACAATTGTGCACGAGATGTTGATGATGAAGATGATGTACCGTCTTTAACACCTGAAACATTCACAATTTGAAGATCTGGGTCACCACCTGTGACTTGACTTGCTACAGATATCGCGACAGTTTTTTGCACCGGTGGTCGTGAATCTATAGGCCTTCCTGTAACAGGATCTCTTTCGACAGGCTCTGTCTGCACCAATTCTAAACTGTCCTCAATTACCTCTACTACACCTGGCTGGAGATTTCGTCCAGCAGCACCTGGAAATGACCCTAAGCCGAGTCTGGGTACTCTATCAGAGTCGGAATGACTAGAATGTCCATACATATTATCGCCACGCTGACCATCTGAGGGACTCCCGGGTCTGTGCATTCTAGGTCGCTTTGATCCCGGGCTATTTGGTCTTTGGAAATCTGAGTGACGTTTCATCATGCTGTCCTGAACTGTTTTTTGAATACCTGATACCCTAACATGTTTGAATTCCAGCATATCATGTGAAGAGTATTTATACTGTCCTGCAGAATAAACAGACAGTCCTGTTTTCTCATGTAAACTCTTACAAAAGTCAGCACAACATTTAATAACACTGTCGACCTGCAACAGTCTGGCAATTTTTTCAATGTCTTTATGATTGTCTTCAGTTAGCATCATGAAGCCCTCATATAAGTATTGCAGAAACATATTGACTGAATCTTGTTTGATTTCAGAAGCCAAACGAACTTCTAAGTGAGATCCAATGGATGCATTGTCCATGGATTGCAACATTGGACAGGCAGCTACCAAGACAAGTCTGTGTGCCTAGAAAAGATCAGAAAAAAAGATCATTTGATTTGCCATTTCTTTATGGTTTTACAAGCAGGACTTAATATTACAATTTATCCTGAAGTATGCATGTTTGTCATTCAATGTTATAATTATTTATATCGCTTTCAAATCACATTGTTGCAATACAAACACTTGATCTTTCTAAAAACAAGCTTAAATTTTAGAGCCTCTCTTGATAATTTCAGACTGACCTTTGTGTTAATGCTGCCTGTCTTTATGATGGCATCACACAATGTCTGGGACTTCCACATGGTGGCCAGTTGGCAAAGTAAAGAGCTTGAATGGATCCCATTTGTGTAGAACTTCTGGTAATTCATGGTGATATTTTGGAAATTTCAATGAGACAATGATGATGACGAGGGCTTTTTTCTGTGAACAGAAAAGAAGTACTGACTTACAGAAACAAATTCATCTGAACACGTTGCCTTTAAAGCCTCTTTCGAAAGGCAAAACAAACATCAAATCTACTGAACATGGTATGGCACCATATTTTATCAGAAATTTTCCTCTCTACATTTTACAAACAGCACTGTTGGTTATTGACATATTGAGAAGTTATAACAGAAACTAATTATTGGCTCCATTAATTTCCCATTGGATCCTTTTATATTCTATGATTTACAAAATATTAACATTAAAGATTAATTATCAGACATGTATTTACTTGGTCTCAAACACTTCATATAACTAATTATATAGTGCATCAATTGTGACTATCTTGATGAAGCAATACACAAATAAAATAAATTAAACCAGAATCAGTAAACAGGACAAGCAGCTTGAATTTAAAATATTAATGTAAACGTTTTCTGAAAAACTTCGACAAAGATTTAGAAGCTTAATTATCAAAATGCTGCAATCCAGTCCTCTGATATTTTAACAAACAAATTGCAGCACTTTCTAAAAAAATCTTTCCATTTTAAGTATGTTTAAAAACAAAACATCAACAGTATATATCTATAACAACACCTTCGCGCCGATGCTCCTAATCGTGGACGAAATCTGGCTTACAGGTGCGCGCGCTTTGTTCGTTTTTTTTTTTTTTTAAATATCGCTCAGTCGCAATTTCAAACTTTATACTAATTCCCTGAGTAAATGTGGTTATAGAACAAGTCAAAAGACGCAGATATTTCCATAATATCAAACACCTTGAAACTCATGAAATGCATAAATTTGCAGTACCGGGTCCTCTCCTGGGCTTTCCCTGCGCTGCGTCCTTTGTTCGCAAATATATTCGATTTCGCTTAACCAGATAAATAGGTTAATTTCACATCATATCAATATTAAACATTAGTTGATGAATATAATAACAAACTTCTTTGCTCTCGGATTTTTATCAGGATGATGACAAGCAAATAAATATTAGAAAATCAAAATTCAACTCCCAATAACCCGGATTGAAATTGACCACGAGAGTAAGTATTCTACCCGGACGCAGGTGCCCGTGTACATATTTCGATCAATTTAGAACATTAAAATGCATGCAAATTGCAATAAAACATTGTCAATGATTAAAAAGTATATAATTGTTTTGAATGATATTTACATTAATTTGAATCCTCTTCTGAAACCAGTTAATGGAGGTATTACGTGTTCACTTAGGAGTCCACTCTACCGGCCGCCATTTCCTTCTTCTTCGTAATGGGTTGCGGTGCGCAATTGTTATGCGCAGAGGCTCAACCGATAGGGGCTCACCGAAGGGAAATTCTTTTCTTTTGTCATAAATTATCACGCTGAAATCACACTGCTACAGTTATCGAACTTATTTCGTGACAGAAGTAGTTCGATAAACAAAACATACTCTCTATATAAAACAACACAATAGACAAAAACATTTGATATGGCACGATGCAAAATAAGATTTATTGATAGCTCAGTCGACGACAAAATTCATGTGAGATGTTATAACTATGGAGTAAAGAGATACGGTGTATATTTAAACATGTTATCATAGAGACCTGCCTTGCCGTTATTATTATTGTTGTTGTTGTTGTTATCGGATTTCAGAGGACTGAAAATTACTGCAATTATACGTACACAAGATACTTTGATTAAATTCCTGAAATTATTTGTCTATCTAATTACTGACTTTCTGTATTCTCTTCGGTGTAGGCAACTCTAAATATAGATCCGGTACTGTTTACTGTAATATTGGTGTCACTATTACTACTCGTAGTAAAAAATGTTAATAATTGAGGTAAAAAAAGGACTTGGTGTATCCTTAACAATAACACAATATCATAATTACACACTAGATAACGTATCCATAGTTATCTGCCCTTAGACGGTGATGAGGTCCAAGTATGGCTTATATTGTGGGTTAAGTACGACATTGAAGCACAGACGAACATTTAATTTTTATACGGCATTGGTTTACACATGATTTACTTGAATTAAATATCTAAAGTGTACTAGACACAAGTTGTCAGATATTTTCATTATCCTTTCATGATATCATAGAGAGAGAGAGAGAGAGAGAGAGAGAGAGAGAGAGAGAGAGAGGGGGGGATGGAAGTAGACACATTAAAACTTATAAGGAAACTACAATGCACTTTAACCCGTATCAGATGCCACTATTCATATGTCTTTCTCAAATATTAGTTTTATTTTCTTGTGTAGACAACGCGTGAATTCCAAATATTAGTTTTATTTTATTGTGTAGACACCAAGGCAACATGTGATACATTACAAAATAACCCCATGTGAGGTGATATTTTGAATTTGGCTCTTTTATAATCTGGATTCCTCCTTAGCGTCGAACAGATTAGTTGTTAAATACGGAAATCTTCAACAGAATGTCCACACTGACAGCGAATAAAAATTATTTAAGAGTGTTAGACAAGTTTCTTGACCTCGCAAGGAAAGGTGTTATATTTTCTGTCACCAGTTAGATTGTAGAAGGGAATTTATGTATCTGTAAAGCTACGATGGAAATTTTGACAGGCCGAATATGATACACTTTGTCTAATTCCAGGTTACTATTGGTTCAATAGATTGTAGAGAACCATGAAACTACAATTCTCAAACGGTAACTAGATATAGTTTGCTCGACTCCGAACTCTTCTGTCTAATTCATCCCACAAGTGTTTTACTGGGGACAAATCGGGACTGAATGAAGGCCAATCAATAGGTACGATGTTCTTGATTGAAAGGAAGTCCGTACAAACTCTGGCAGTGGCGTAGCAAAACATTTTTAAGAGTGTATGCTTTCAAGAGAGGATCCAAGGGCGAAGCCCCGGTTAAGGGGGTCTAAGGGCGCAGTAAGGTTAAAAAAGTAGGGCAAATATATCTCAATGGAATTCGAGTGTATGTTTAAGCATACAAGCATACATTATTGCTACGCCTCTGTCTGGCAACGTATGGCCTAGTGTTATCATGCTGAAAGGTCAAATGGTGCCTTATAACGAAAGACATAGCATGAGACTTCAGGATCAATTATCACCAAAGGCGTCTTTAAACCATGCGGAATTCCTCCCCGAACAATAACCATGACCGATCCACCCCTAAATATGTCCTGTTCTTAAACACAAGCGTCTGCAAGACGTTCTTTTCGACGCTGGTACACACGTTGGAGGGCATCTGATCAAAACAGCAGAAACCGAGATTTATCCGTGAAGAGCATGGTCTTCCAACCTCTCATGTGGAAGCGTCTGTGCATAAGACGTGTTCGACGTTAAGGTGTTAGCTTCTCGCAGTCTACTTATCACTGTCTTTGGGTGGATTTGATGGTTCCAATTTCCAATGGTAATTCGTGCCGTTAATGTACTGTCACGCAAGCTTTTGGGCAAGCCTAATGAAGCGATCTTAACATCGCGACTATGCACGTGGACGTCCGGATCTCGGTCTGCCATCAAACCATCCAGTGACACTGAGACGTAAAACTAACCGACTTCTGGTCGATTTGTGAACTCGGAAGTGCTGTTGAATGCTACCTTCCATGAGCATTACGAGAGACCGTCCTCTATCAATTTGGCATTTGGTGACATTTTTGTAAAAATAATTATTGATTGCAAATGTATTGATCAGTCTTGGTGGTAGTCAGAAATCGACACCAGCTTGAATAGAAAAAAAACCAAAACAATTTGTTTTTTAATTTAGAAATACCAGATGTGGATAATTTTTTGTCACGGATGACGTATTTTCAACATTTATTAGGGGATTGGTAAAGGTGCTCTGATATTCCTCTTACTATTTATACAGCTATGTATATTCAATACAAGACATTCTAGAATTAAAGAAATTGCGTTTCTTTATCCTGTCAGCATAAAATGAGTTACAATAGGTACTTACGTAAAAAAAAATAGTTGTTAGTATTCCTAACGTTACATCGTCAATTTTCTGAGAAAAGCTGTAGGTAATCAGATGTCAATTTCGTCTGTTAGAAAGTGGTTCTCATCTACTTTCGAAACAAAGAGAATCTCTGTCGAGTGGTTATGAACACTTGAGTGTGAGTTTGAGCAGAGTGGGTTAAGATGTGAGTGCGCATGAGCAGAGTGGTGTCGAGATGCGACCGCGTGTAAGCAGGGTGGTGTTTAGATGTGAGCGCGTGTAAGCAGGGTGGTGTCGAGATGTGAGCGCGTGTAAGCAGGGTGGTGTTTAGATGTGAGCGCGTGTAAGCAGGGTGGTGTCGAGATGTAAGCGCGTGTAAGCAGGGTGGTGGCTAGATGTGATCGCGTGTAAGCAGGGTGGTGTTAAGATGTGAGCGCGTGTGAACTGGACGGTGTTAAGATGTGAGCGCGTGTGAGCCGGGTAGTGACTGAATGTGAGTGCGTGTGAGCAGGGTAGTGCCTAGATGTGAGCACGTGTGAGCAGGATGGGTTTAGATATGAGCGCGTGTGAGCAGGGTGGTGTATAGATGTGAGCGCGTGTCAGCATGGCGGTGTCTAGATGTGAGTGCGCGTGAGCAATGTATATATTGGAAATGTGAGCACACGTGCACAGGACAGTATGTTGATGTTAGTGCCAATGAGCAAGGACTTACGTTACATCTACTGGTGAGCAAATGTGAAAAAGATAGTGTATAAAGGTGAGCGTTACAGGATGATATCGTAGTGTGTGTTAAGTGTGCACGCGTGGGAGTTATCATTATGGATAAACTAGCATGGTGTTCACGTTTATACGTGATGCGAAATATTTCGTAGGATCTTCGCGATTAGAAGTAAACTAGAAAAGTTCACCAATCAAATGAGAAGTACAGACAAACTGGAAATTATACAGGTAATCTTCACACACTTCAACATATAACACTAAGGGATAAATAAGATTTAGTCCTAATCCACGGATAGAAAACTTTCATATCAGAAAATAGGTCTGATATCAATTAATTATATCTAAAATGATTTAGGACCAGATATAAGTTGTTTTTATAATATATATTACAACATTTTTGAAATGCTTAGATTACCAAAACGCGGAAATGTTTAAAAGTCAATACTTCTATGGTGCACCTGATCATATCATGATCGGACAGAAAAAAGACTGGGGCCCGGATGAGTACAGGATTCCTATATTATTACCGCTGTCGTTTCTATGGTGTTACAGAAGCTGCCAAGTGATGTAGTTTCTATTTGACTTTAAACTACAACAATTCTACTAGTTTTATTGAAAGGTGCCATTCACATTTTTGCACAACATCTAAACACATTCATATGAGGACTTAACAATCACTAGAGAACCCATCAAACCAAGGTTCACCATAGCTTCTTTCTTGTACAACTGAAACTCAACTCAATGTACAATACAATTAATGTTATCAGTAACAAGTTGCTGAACATTGCAGAGACTCCTGTCAGTAGATGCAGTGTCAACATTTATGCTTCATCCTCCCTGTATACAATGCATTGTTGTATACAAATCTCCCCTGGGCTAAGAACTAAACCGAAAATGAATTCAATTTCTGAGTAAAGTTCTCATAATTTAACGTTTGGGTTTCCAACATCTGGTCCATTTCGGAACATCATTTTTAATGATGAAAGAAAGGAAAGAAAGGACAGGCAGTGATCCATGATCCCCTATTCTTTTTCACTCTTACAAAAACTAGCTCATCATGTGGACAGCTTGTTGGTTGATAAGGATCACTAAGTTAGTACTAACTTCATTGGTCCTAAGATCTAATATTAATACCTGAATCATTCAAACACAGACTGAGGGAAAAAATTCATTCATTAAATTAAAGAATGAGAGTAAAGAAAATCGCCCACCAAACACATACTTGGGAGTACAAAATTATTCATGAGAGCAGACTTAAAGTACAAAATCCCCCATTAAAACACAGATGGTGAGTACAAAATCCCCCATTAAAACACAGATGGTGAGTACAAAATCCCCCATTAAAACACAGATCGTGAGTACAAAATCTTCCATTAAATTAAGAACTAAGATTTCAAAATCATCTATGAAAACACTGAAAATTTAAAACCATTCAATAAAACAAATACAGAGAGTTCAATTATCAAAACACAAAATGAAAATATAAAATCCATTAAATCACAAAATCTTCATCAAAAACACAGACCGGCAGTACACAATTATAGAACAAAGACTGAAAATTAAAATTTTTCCATTAAGACAAACTGAGAATACTTAAATTACACATTAAAACACAGGCTTCTATCAAAACACAAGCTGAGAATACCTAAATTGCCCATTCAAACACAGACTCCTTATACAAAATCTTCTATCAAAACACAAACTGACAATACCAAATTGCCCATTAAAACATAGACTCCTTATACAAAATTTTCTATCAAAACACAAGCTGAGAATACCAAATTCCCCATTAAGAAACATATTCAGAATACAAAATCCTCCATTAAAACACATCTTACATAATAAAAACACAAACATCTGTTGTTGCAGCAAATACATGTATATATAACATTTTCAGCCTTCCCATACTATGTAGATAACTGCAATATTATGTAAGCATATGCAAATAGCACATCATATCAAGCAAGAAGTATGTGAAACTAGAAACTGGCACTTCATTGTGGACGTATTTGTTAGAACAATCGCTTACAAGAGGCCCAGAGGGCCTGTACACTCACCTGTATATTTAAGTTGGGGGTTAGGGTGGTGGTGGCGGGTGTGGGGGGCATAGACCCACCATTTAAACAAAATTGGTTTCTCTTTCCCCAAGTATGCTTCAGATCAGACTTTGATTAAAGCTAAGTTGTTCATGAAAAGTTGCATTATATGTTAAAAGTTGACACATGACAGATGCTGGACCCTGTGGTATCCCTTTTACACACTTGGTCCTTCTGGCCAGGTGAGCTTAAAATCATATTCATCATTTATTTAAACTTTTTTGAAGAAAAAATATCATATATGTTGAAATTCTACACAAAACTGATCATGTTTTAGAGGCTACAGTACTCATTCGGAGCTAAATCATTATAAGTATTCAGACATTCTGCATATTACTTAAAATCCTATATTGTCATGTATAAACAGAGCTCAATATGTCTACTTATAATGATTTTTAACAGTTTGTGGCCATAAAAAAACTGAGGAGTGGAAGCACCCACAAAGTCAATGAAAATAACACATCCAAAAATATTGATGATTTTACACTAGACGGAGTATGAAATGTGAAAACATAACAGTCAAAGCAAGGCATCATTGTAGTCTGATTTATTTGTATTGTTCCAGAGGTAAAATGATGAATACACACATGACAGACAAATTACGATGGCAAATGTTTGAGATAGTTACTAGGAATCAGAACACTAGTTTTTTGCATGAGAGATGGACTAGGGCATATAACTCCACTGAAATGAGGCTTCTATTACTAACTTTGTCATAAGAGATGAACTAGGAGTTATGACACTACCTATTACCTGAGAGAGAGATGAGGAGTTATGACACTACCTATTACCTGACATATGAACTAGGGCTTATAAACTACCTATTACCTGAGAGATGAATTGAACATATAACACTGCCTTTTGCTTGAGAGAAGGATTAGAGCTTATAACACTACATATCACTTGAGAGATGGATTAGGTCTTATAACACTACATATTGCTGGAGAGACTCAGGACTCAGGCACTTCTTTTGAATGCAAGATAAACAATTTTTTTTATGAGAGATGAACCAGGACTTAAATTTCTGCTTTTGAGATATAATGCAGTGATGAAACAAACATGTTTAATTAGACGTTAAAGTCACAACAGAATTGCATTTATATCAATTTGTTAAGTACATGTATTGATAATTATACATATGTAAATTCAATTATATAAATTTTTTCCTGAGTTTCACAAATGTAAAATGTAACCCATTTGATGTAGGTTTTTTATAATAACACAGGTAGGAACTTTCCTCGATGGTTACAAAACACAAAACAACAGAGCAATTTAGGTCCATATAAAGTTTCACTTGGCTGTCCATATCAATGTATTACAATGTGCTGGCTGTAGGAGATTAATCTCTACTTTGTGAGGGTGGAGAGTTGGAGAGCCCCATCTGGTCTGTCATTAGCTGTAGTGAGCTGATCTCTACTTTGTGAAGGTAGAAGGTTGGACAGCCCAGTCTGGCGCATCCTTAGGTGGCACTCGACGGCTTTCCTCCTCAGCCTCTCGCCTGCTTAGACAACGGTCACTTTTTAGGTGGTCAGCATCAAGTTTTGTGAACCAATGATCAAGAAAATCACTCCTCCATGCAAGTTTTCTAACTACAAGACGTTTTGGCCACGCACGGTCATCTGAGTCTGAGTCAGATTCCTGAGAGGAGATAAATGTTGTTGTACTTAGCGCTTCCTCTAGCTTTGAGCGGTCGGATTCACTGATCCCAGTTGTCAAACTGGACAAAGCTGTCAGTCTACGGATACGGTTCTGAAAAATTTAAAGCACTGCATTATCATTGGTGACTGGACATGAGCTAAAGCTTGTTCAGCTATAACTATAACCTTGGTTATTCAATAAGTACCAAACCTTACTGAGTTATCAATGGACTATTCAATAAGTACCAAACCTTATTTATCCTCAGCAATAATTCTCCAATCTTGACAAGTTATTTTTCAAATGAGTAAGCTCTGACCCTTAACCTTAATGATTTATCATAAACAAAGTCACGGCAGTCAGTTATACAGTCCTATTTAAGCACTTTCAGACTTTCAGAGCACAAAATCATCATTAAATGTTTCCATTTACTTCAGGATTTTTCATGTTTTAAATCTCTGACATCTGTCTACATTGTGAGTGTGGTCAAATCTTTGACATCTGTCTACATTGTTAGAGTGTTTAAATCTTAGGTAAACACAATACCTCACATCATTAAAGCAATTGGAGATCATTAAAATATAATTTATAGTAATATATTTGTAACTGAAGCAAAGCCATCACAATGTGTGTTTTGGTTAATACATACATATGATGACAACATATGTTAGGCTTACATTACATGTAGAACAAGAATGTGTGATGTTTTCTGGTTCACTCATGAAAGCTTTTGAGAGTCACCTGTCATTCAATGTCATTGAATCACTTCCTGACATACACATGCCATTTACTGTTGTAAAATTTTGCTACATACATTTGCCATTTACTGTTGTAAATTTTGTTACATAGATTTGTCATTTACTGTTGTAAAATTTTGCTACATACATTTGTCATTTGCTGTTGTAAAATTTTGCTACATACATTTGTCATTTGCTGTTGTAAAATTTTGCTACATACATTTGTCATTTGCTGTTGTAAAATTTTGTTACATAGATTTGTCATTTACTGTTGTAAAATTTTGTTACATAGATTTGTCATTTACTGTTGTAAAATTTTGCTACATACATTTGTCATTTACTGTTGTAAAATTTTGTTACATAGATTTGTCATTTACTGTTGTAAAATTTTGCTACATACATTTGTCATTTACTGTTGTAAAATTTTGTTACATAGATTTGTCATTTACTGTTGTAAAATTTTGTTACATACGTTTGTCATTCTTTGTCGTTTTCGTTGTTTCTTTCTTGCCTCCTCCACCCGATTGGTCTGAATCCGTTTGGCCCTTGTTTTTCTCGTCATAAAATAACTCCTACAAGCCTCTGTAGAATTATAGATAGCAGGTGGATTTAACTAGTTTCATTTTTGTCTCTCAAAGGTCACCTTTAACCTTAATAATTCTGTTGTTCTATTGCTATTCTATTTTTATCTCACCTCTATTTAACCTTCAATGACCATAATTAATTGTTCGAACCTTTATGTCTGGTGTTTATTACTTTTACCTGTATATTCTGTGACATTGTTTCATCTCACCAAAGTATACTCACTAAAAAACTTTTAAATTACATAATTATATCGTAGTATCATTTATTTCTTGTCTTCCTCTCACCTCATTCATATCTATCCTTTCAGTTCATTAATCAACCTCTCACAGCAAACCCTCCTATCCCCCAATCCTGTCCTCCCCCGTTACCCTCTCTATGTTCATTCCACCTTCCCTACTATGTTAGGGTACTGTGACATATATACTTACTGACGATCCCCGACAGTACTTTGTTAGGGTAATGTGACATATATACTTACTGACGACCCCGACAGTACTATGTTAGGGTATTGTGACAGATATACTTACTGACGATCCCCGACAGTACCATGTTAGGGTACTGTGACATATATACTTACTGACGACCCCCGACAGTACCATGTTAGGGCACTGTGACATATATACTTACTAACAACCCACGATAGTGCAATGTTAGGGTACTGTGACAGATATACTTCATGACTGCCCCCAACAATACCATGTTAGGGTACTGTGACATATATACTTACTGACTACCCCTGACAGTACCATGTTAGGGTACTGTGACATGTATACTTACTGACTACCCCTGACAGTACCATGTTAGGGCACTGTGACATGTATACTTACTGACTACCCCTGACAGTACCATGTTAGGGTACTGTGACATATATACTTACTGACGACCCCCGACAGTACTATGTTAGGGTACTGTGACATATATACTTAATGACGACCCTCGACAGTACCATGTTAGGGCAATGTAACATGTATACTTACTGACGACCCCCGACAGTACTATGTTAGGGTAGTGTGACATATATACTTAATGACAACCCCTGACAGTACCATGTTAGGGTAATGTGACATGTATACTTACTGACTACCCCGACAGTACCATGTTAGGGTACTGTGACATGTATACTTACTGACTACCCCTGACAGTACCATGTTAAGGTACTGTGACATGTATATATGTACTGACGACCCCTGACAGTACCATGTTAGGGCACTGTGACATATATACTTACTGACAACCCACGATAGTGCCATGTTAGGGTACTGTGACAGATATACTTCATGACGGCCCCCGACAGTACCATGTTAGGGAACTGTGACTTATATACTTACTGACAACCCCCGACAGTACTATGTTAGGGTAGTGTGACATATATACTTAATGACGACCCCAACAGTACCATGTTAGGGTAATGTGACATGTATACTTACTGACTACCCCGACAGTACCATGTTAGGGTACTGTGACATATATACTTACTGACGACCCTCGACAGACTATGTTAGGGTAATGTGACATGTATACTTACTGACGACCCCCGACAGTACTATGTTAGGGTAATGTGACATGTATACTTACTGACGACCCCAGACAGACTATGTTAATGTATTGTGACATGTATACTTACTGATGACCCCAGACAGACTATGTTAATGTATTGTGACATATATACTTACTGACGACCCCAGACAGTACCATGTTAGGGTACTGTGACATATATACTTACTGACGACCCCTGACAGTACTATGTTAGGGTCCTTTGACATATATACTTACTGACGACCCCCGACAGTACCATGTTAGGGTACTGTGACATGACAGCATTGATAATCCTCATGTTGACCTCAGGGTTGATACCTTCACGGTAACTGTGAAAAATGAAAAATAACCAGATTTATCTTGAGTGAAAGGAGGCAGTGATACTCCTGAAAGTGTTGTTGGCTTTTTCAGTGCTGTAGGCTGTACCTGTGTTGTAGGCTGTATCTGTGTTGTAGGCTGTATCAGTGATGTAGGATGTGTCTATGTTGTAGGCTGTATCTGTGTTGAAGGATGTATCTGTGTTGTAGGCTGTACTTGTGCTGTAGGATGTATCTGTGTTGTAGGCTGTACCTGTGCTGTAGGCTGTATCTGTGCAGTAGGATGTATCTGTGCTGTAGGCTGTACCTGTGCTGTAGGCTGTATCTGTGTTGCAGGCTGTATCAGTGATGTAGGATGTATCAGTGATGTAGGCTGTATCTGTGTTGTAGACTGTACCTGTGCTGTAGGATGTATCTGTGCAGTAGGATGTATCTGTGCTGTAGGCTGTATCAGTGGTGTAGGCTGTATCTGTGCTGTAGGCTGTACCTGTGCTGTAGGATGTATCTGTGTTGTAGGATGTATCTGTGCTGTAGGCTGTACCTGTGCTGTAGACTGTATCTGTGCTGTAGGCTGTATTTTTGTGATGTAGGATGTATCTGTGTTGTAGACTGTACCTGTGTTGTAGGATGTATCTGTGCTGTAGGCTGTATCTGTGTTGTAGGCTGTATCTGTGTTGTAGGCTGTATCTGTGCTGTAGGCTGTATCTGTGTTGTAGGCTGTATCAGTGATGTAGACTGTATCTGTGCTGTAGGATGTATCTGTGTTGTAGGATGTATCTGTGCTGTAGGCTGTATTTGTGCTGTAGGAGGTACCTGTGCTGTAGGCTGTATCTGTGTTGTAGACTGTACCTGTGTTGTAGGATGTATCTGTGTTGTAGGCTGTATCTGTGTTGTAGGCTGTATCTGTGCTGTAGGCTGTATCTGTGTTGTAGGCTGTATCAGTGATGTAGGCTGTATCTGTGCTGTAGGATGTATCTGTGTTGTAGGATGTATCTGTGCTGTAGGATGTATCTGTGTTGTAGGCTGTATCTGTGCTGTAGGCTGTATCTGTGTTGTAGGCTGTATCAGTGATGTAGGCTGTATCTGTGCTGTAGGCTGTATCTGTGTTGTAGGCTGTATCAGTGATGTAGGCTGTATCTGTGCTGTAGGATGTATCTGTGTTGTAGGATGTATCTGTGTTGTAGGCTGTATCTGTGCTGTAGGATGTATCTGTGTTGTAGGATGTATCTGTGCTGTAGGCTGTATCTGTAATGTAGACTGTATCTGTTGTATCTCTGATGTAAGCTGTACATATGGTAGAGGCTGTAACTGTAATGTAAGCTGTACAGCATGACCAGTGAGGTTGACTGTTCTCGTGTAAGATGAACCTGTTATTTAGGCTATGACTGTGAATTAAGTAGGACTAGTGTTGTAGGTATGTGATATAGGAGGTATTTACAGACACTAGGCTGTGTTGTAGGTTTTATTGATCTATTCAGTATTGAACCTGTGCTGTAGGAGGTATTTACAGATACTAGGCTGTGGTATAGGTATGTATGATATAGGAGGTATTTACAGACACTAGGCTGTGGTATAGGTATGTGATATAGGAGGTATTTACAGACACTAGGCTGTGGTATAGGTATGTATGATATAGGAGGTATTTACAGACACTAGGCTGTGTTGTAGGTATGTGATATAGGAGGTATTTACAGACACTAGGCTGTGTTGTAGGTTTTATTGATCTATTCAGTATTGAACCTGTGCTGTAGGAGGTATTTACAGATACTAGGCTGTGGTATAGGTATGTATGATATAGGAGGTATTTACAGACACTAGGCTGTGGTATAGGTATGTGATATAGGAGGTATTTACAGACACTAGGCTGTGGTATAGGTATGTATGATATAGGAGGTATTTACAGATACTAGGCTGTGGTATAGGTATGTATGATATAGGAGGTGTTTACAGACACTAGGCTGTGTTGTAGGTATGTATGATATAGGAGGTATTTACAGACACTAGGCTGTGTTGTAGGTATGTGATATAGGAGGTATTTACAGACACTAGGCTGTGGTATAGGTATGTATGATATAGGAGGTATTTACAGACACTAGGCTGTGGTATAGGTATGTGATATAGGAGGTATTTACAGACACTAGGCTGTGTTGTAGGTTTTATTGATCTATGCAGTATTGAACCTGTGCTGTAGGAGGTATTTACAGATACTAGGCTGTGGTATAGGTATGTATGATATAGGAGGTATTTACAGACACTAGGCTGTGTTGTAGGTATGTATGATATAGGAGGTATTTACAGACACTAGGCTGTGTTGTAGGTATGTGATATAGGAGGTATTTACAGACACTAGGCTGTGGTATAGGTATGTATGATATAGGAGGTATTTACAGACACTAGGCTGTGGTATAGGTATGTGATATAGGAGGTATTTACAGACACTAGGCTGTGGTATAGGTATGTATGATATAGGAGGTATTTACAGATACTAGGCTGTGGTATAGGTATGTATGATATAGGAGGTATTTACAGACACTAGGCTGTGGTATAGGTATGTGATATAGGAGGTATTTACAGACACTAGGCTGTGTTGTAGGTTTTATTGATCTATGCAGTATTGAACCTGTGCTGTAGGAGGTATTTACAGATTTGCTGTGTATTTGGGACTAGTGTTGTAAGTAACAATGACATAGGCAGTGGTGTACCTGTGATGTAGATATCAGTGATGTAGGAGGTATTTACAGATACTAGGCTGTGGTGTAGGTATGTATGATATAGGAGGTACTTTCAGACACTAGGCTGTGGTATAGGTATGTATGATATAGGAGGTGTTTACAGACACTAGGCTGTGGTGTAGGTTGGACTAGTGTTGTAGGTATGTATGATGTAGGAGGTATTTACTGATACTAGGCTGTGATGTAGGTTGGACTAGTGTTGTAGGTATATGTGATAAAGGAGGTATTTACAGATACAAGGCTGTGGTATAGTATGTATGATATAGGAGGTATTTACAGACACTAGGCTGTGATGTAGGTTGGACTTGTGTTGTAGGTATGTATGATATAGGAGGTATTTACAGACACTAGGCTGTGGTATAGGTATGTATGGTATAGGAGGTGTTTACAGACACTAGGCTGTGCTGTAGGTTGGACTAGTGTTGTAGGTATGTGATATAGGAGGTATTTACAGATACAAGGCTGTGGTATAGGTATGTATGATATAGGAGGTATTTACAGATACTAGGCTGTGGTATAGGTATGTATGATATAGGAGGTATTTACAAATACTAGGCTGTGGTATAGGTATGTATGACATAGGAGGTATTTACATATACTAGGCTGTGGTATAGGTATGTATGATATAGGAGGTATTTACAGACACTAGGCTGTGGTATAGGTATGTATGATATAGGAGGTGTTTACAGACACTAGGCTGTGGTGTAGGTTGGACTAGTGTTGTAGGTATGTATGATATAGGAGGTGTTTACAGACACTAGGCTGTGGTGTAGGTTGGACTTGTGTTGTAGGTATGTATGATGTAGGAGGTATTTACAGATACTAGGCTGTGGTGTAGGTTGGACTAGTGTTGTAGGTATGTATAATATAGGAGGTATTTACAGACACTAGGCTGTGGTATAGGTATGTACGATATAGGAGGTATTTACAGATACTAGGCTGTGGTATAGGTATGTATAATATAGGAGGTATTTACAGATACTAGGCTGTGGTGTAGGTATGTATGATATAGGAGGTATTTACAGACACTAGGCTGTGGTATTCAGGAAGTGTACCTACCTGACATTATAGTCCCATTCCTTTCCCTGCTGCTCCAGATCCTGGACAGTTGAGTGGACAGCATGCTACATCAGATAACAATTCATTCAATAAAGAATTTCATAACCATAAAATTTTGTAATACAAACATGACAGAGAAGACTTGATCATTATGGCATTTCCTTGAATGCTTGGTGAGTTTGCCAGTTTGCTTGGTGTAATACAAGTTTGATGCAAGAGAGAATAAATGATTTTATCTCCTCTAATGATTGATGGTTTGTGAAAATAAAGATTTCGCAGAATTGAAATTGATTGAGCAGAGTTTCGCTGCAGTACATGCTCTTGGGTTATGATGAAGTTTTGAATCAGCAGAGTTTAGTGGTTGAGCTTAGGTTTGAAATTAGAACGTATCTGGGAATGACTTATGGGTAGGGGGCCAAGGTTTGGGGCGTGTTGCTATGATGAACGTTGGGTAAAGTGTAGGGGTGGATCAGGTAAGGTATTAAAGTAAGCCTTGGTTCAATGACAGAACACATTTTGATTTTGGTCAGTGTGGAGTGTGGCATTGGGTAAAGTTTGGAGTTGGTCAGATTTTGAAGTGGTGTCAAGACTTTGGAATAGTGTCAGATTTTGGAGTGGTTTTGGAGTGGTGTCAGACTTTGGAATAGTGTCAGATTTTGGTGTGGTTTTGGAGTGGTGTCAGACTTTGGAATAGTGTCAGATTTTAGAGTGGTTTTGGAGTGGTGTCAGACTTCGGAATAGTGTCAGATTTTGGAGTGGTTTTGGAGTGGTGTCAGATTTTGGAGTGGTTTTGGAGTGGTGTCAGACTTTGGAATAGTGTCAGATTTTGGTGTGGTTTTGGAGTGGTGTCAGACTTTGGAATAGTGTCAGATTTTAGAGTGGTTTTGGAGTGGTGTCAGACTTCGGAATAGTGTCAGATTTTGGAGTGGTTTTGGAGTGGTGTCAGATTTTGGAGTGGTTTTGGAGTGGTGTCAGACTTTGGAATAGTGTCAGATTTTGGTGTGGTTTTGGAGTGGTGTCAGACTTTGGAATAGTGTCAGATTTTAGAGTGGTTTTGGAGTGGTGTCAGACTTCGGAATAGTGTCAGATTTTGGAGTGGTTTTGGCGTAGTGTCAGATTTTGGAGTGGTTTTGGAGTGGTGTCAGACTTTGGAATAGTGTAAGATTTTGGTGTGGTTTTGGAGTGGTGTCAAAGTTTGAAGTGGTTTTGGAGTGGTGTCAGACTTTGGAATAGTGTCAGATTTTGGAGTGGTGTCAGACTTTGGAGTGGTGTCAGACTTTGGAGTGGTATCAGAATTTTGGGCAGTATCATACTGTTGATTTGGACCTTACCTTGATGTTTTTGTGGATGGTTGCCTTCTCTATCTCACCAATAACAGCAGATACTGCAGAGTTGTTGAGAACATCAGACAGCGGAGTTGTGGCATTAGGGTCAAAATCTGGAAACAGAAAATAAAGAAAAAAAGAAGTTTTACAAAATTTGTAAGATAGTATAAAAACAAGGTTCTACTAGCCATACACTAGTCAAATCATGCAGTATTGAACTCTGTACTTAATGTAATGAGACTATGAGATCATAGAAACAGTTCATCTGTGCTATGTCACAATCATTCTTCTCACATTATAATGACCACAGTAACCTCTGACCCAAAAATATGAGAATAATGAGCTGGTTTCTGATTGGCCACTCTGTTTTGTCCTTGTGACTTTGTCAAGATACAACTATCAGTAATTCAACAACCATAGAACAAAGTGTTCATATTCTGCTAATGAGGACAAACATTGGAAATTCATCGAACAATATTTCTAGTCTGGTTACAGGTACATCATCTGAACTAGTATACAATCAAAGTACTGACATACTGAGGAGTCAGACATTATGATATCTTAACTCACCAAGTACTGTACTAGTTTCTATAGCATTAAGACATCACTCCTGAATGAATTGATGAAATTAATTGCAATATGCATGGTTTATTTTAAGTCTGATAATTTTGAAACATCAGTTTGTTGACAAATTCTAATTAACATCTCTACTTCACCTATACAAGTGTCTCTACTTTACCTATACAGTTGTCTCTACTTTACCTATACAGTTGTCTCTACTTTACCTTTACAGTTGTCTCTACTTTACCTATACAGGTGTCTCTACTTCACCTATACAGGTGTAATAAAGGTACAACAGGTAAAATATACAATTTTCATTTAGAGAAAAAATTATTGGCAAATTTCATTTGGACAGGTCAAACTTAATTCCAATAGACTGGTAGTCAGGGGACAGGTCAAACTTAATTCCAATAGACTGGTAGTCAGGGGACAGGTCAAACTTAATTCCAATAGACTGGTAGTGGTAGTCAGGGGACAGGTCAAACTTAATTCCAATAGACTGGTAGTCAGGGGACAGGTCAAACTTAATTCCAATAGACTGGTAGTGGTAGTCAGGGGACAGGTCAAACTTAATTCCAATAGACTGGTAGTGGTAGTCAGGGGACAGGTCAAACTTAATTCCAATAGACTGGTAGTCAGGGGACAGGTCAAACTTAATTCCAATAGACTGGTAGTCAGGGGACAGGTCAAACTTAATTCAGGTCAAACTAATTCCAATAGACTGGTAGACTGGTAGTAGTCAGGGGACAGGTCAAACTTAATTCCAATAGACTGGTAGTCAGGGGACAGGTCAAACTTAATTCCAATAGACTGGTAGTCAGGGGACAGGTCAAACTTAATTCCAATAGACTGGTAGTCAGTGGACAGGTCAAACTTAATTCCAATAGACTGGTAGTCAGGGGACAGGTCAAACTTAATTCCAATAGACTGGTAGTCAGTGGACAGGTCAAACTTAATTCCAATAGACTGGTAGTCAGGGGACAGGTCAAACTTAATTCCAATAGACTGGTAGTCAGGGGACAGGTCAAACTTAATTCCAATAGACTGGTAGTCAGGGGACAGGTCAAACTTAATTCCAATAGACTGGTAGTCAGTGGACAGGTCAAACTTAATTCCAATAGACTGGTAGTCAGGGGACAGGTCAAACTTAATTCCAATAGACTGGTAGTCAGGGGACAGGTCAGACTGGTAGTCAGGGGACAGGTCAAACTTAATTCCAATAGACTGGTAGTCAGGGGACAGGTCAAACTTAATTCCAATAGACTGGTAGTCAGGGGACAGGTCAAACTTAATTCCAATAGACTGGTAGTCAGGGGACAGGTCAAACTTAATTCCAATAGACTGGTAGTCAGGGGACAGGTCAAACTTAATTCCAATAGACTGGTAGTCAGGGGACAGGTCAAACTTAATTCCAATAGACTGGTAGTGGTAGTCAGGGGACAGGTCAAACATAATTCCAATAGACTGGTAGTCAGGGACAGGTTTCAGGGGACAGGTCAAACTTAATTCCAATAGACTGGTAGTCAGGGGACAGGTCAAACTTAATTCCAGACTGGTAGACTGGTAGTCAGGGGACAGGTCAAACTTAATTCCAATAGACTGGTAGTGGTAGTCAGGGGACAGGTCAAACTTAATTCCAATAGACTGGTAGTCAGGGGACAGGTCAAACTTAATTCCAATAGACTGGTAGTCAGGTCAGGGTAGTAGTCAGACAGGTCAAACTTAATTCCAATAGACTGGTAGTCAGGGGACAGGTCAAACTTAATTCCAATAGACTGGTAGTCAGTCAGGGACAGGTCAAACTTAATTCCAATAGACTGGTAGTCAGGGGACAGGTCAAACTTAATTCCAATAGACTGGTAGTCAGGGGACAGGTCAAACTTAATTCCAATAGACTGGTAGTCAGGGGACAGGTCAAACTTAATTCCAATAGACTGGTAGTCAGGGGACAGGTCAAACTTAATTCCAATAGACTGGTAGTGGTAGTCAGGGAACAGGTCAAACTTAATTCCAATAGACTGGTATTCAGGGGACAGGTCAAACTTAATTCCAATAGACTGGTAATCAGGGGACAGGTCAAACTTAATTCCAATAGACTGGTAGTCAGTCAGGGACAGACAGGGGACAGGTCAAACTTTTCCAATAGATTCCAATAGACTGGTAGTCAGGGGACAGGTCAAACTTAATTCCAATAGACTGGTAGTCAGGGGACAGGTCAAACTTAATTCCAATAGACTGGTAGTCAGGGGACAGGTCAAACTTAATTCCAATAGACTGGTAGTCAGGGGACAGGTCAAACTTAATTCCAATAGACTGGTAGTGGTAGTCAGGGGAACGGGACACGTTAATTAATTCCAATAGACTGGTAGTGGTAGTCAGGGGACAGGTCAAACTTAATTCCAATAGACTGGTAGTGGTAGTCAGGGGACAGGTCAAACTTAATTCCAATAGACTGGTAGTCAGGGGACAGGTCAAACTTAATTCCAATAGACTGGTAGTCAGGGGACAGGTCAAACTTAATTCCAATAGACTGGTAGTCAGGGGACAGGTCAAACTTAATTCCAATAGACTGGTAGTCAGGGGACAGGTCAAACTTAATTCCAATAGACTGGTAGTCAGGGGACAGGTCAAACTTAATTCCAATAGACTGGTAGTCAGGGGACAGGTCAAACTTAATTCCAATAGACTGGTAGCGGTAGTCAGGGGACAGGTCAAACTTAATTCCAATAGACTGGTAGTGGTAGTCAGGGGACAGGTCAAACTTAATTCCAATAGACTGGTAGTCAGGGGACAGGTCAAACTTAATTCCAATAGACTGGTAGTGGTAGTCAGGGGACAGGTCAAACTTAATTCCAATAGACTGGTAGTGGTAGTCAGGGGACAGGTCAAACTTAATTCCAATAGACTGGTAGTCAGGGGACAGGTCAAACTTAATTCCAATAGACTGGTAGTGGTAGTCAGGGGACAGGTCAAACTTAATTCCAATAGACTGGTAGTGGTAGTCAGGGGACAGGTCAAACTTAATTCCAATAGACTGGTAGTCAGGGGACAGGTCAAACTTAATTCCAGTAGACTGGTAGTGGTAGGCAGGGGACAGGTCAAACCTAATTCCAATAGACTGGTAGTCAGGGGACAGGTCAAACTTAATTCCAATAGACTGGTAGTCAGGGGACAGGTCAAACTTAATTCCAATAGACTGGTAGTCAGGGGACAGGTCAAACTTAATTCCAATAGACTGGTAGACTGGTAGTCAGGGGACAGGTCAAACTTAATTCCAATAGACTGGTAGTCAGGGGACAGGTCAAACTTAATTCCAATAGACTGGTAGTGGTAGTCAGGGGACAGGTCAAACTTAATTCCAATAGACTGGTAGTCAGGGGACAGGTCAAACTTAATTCCAATAGACTGGTAGTGGTAGTCAGGGGACAGGTCAAACTTAATTCCAATAGACTGGTAGTCAGGGGACAGGTCAAACTTAATTCCAATAGACTGGTAGTCAGGGGACAGGTCAAACTTAATTCCAATAGACTGGTAGTCAGTGGACAGGTCAAACTTAATTCTAATAGACTGGTAGTGGTAGTCAGGGGACAGGTAAAACTTAATTCCAATAGACTGGTAGTCAGGGGACAGGTCAAACTTAATTCCAATAGACTGGGTAGTCAGGGGGTCACAGGACTGGTAGTGGTAGTCAACTTAATTCAAGGTCAAACTTAATAGTCAGGGGACAGGTCAAACTTAATTCCAATAGACTGGTAGTCAGGGGACAGGTCAAACTTAATTCCAATAGACTGGTAGTGGTAGTCAGGGGACAGGTCAAACTTAATTCCAATAGACTGGTAGTCAGGGGACAGGTCAAACTTAATTCCAATAGACTGGTAGTCAGGGGACAGGTCAAACTTAATTCCAATAGACTGGTAGTCAGGGGACAGGTCAAACTTAATTCCAATAGACTGGTAGTAGTCAGGGGACAGGTCAAACTTAATTCCAATAGACTGGTAGTGGTAGTCAGGGGACAGGTCAAACTTAATTCCAATAGACTGGTAGTCAGGGGACAGGTCAAACTTAATTCCAATAGACTGGTAATCAGGGGACAGGTCAAACTTAATTCCAATAGACTGGTAGTCAGGGGACAGGTCAAACTTAATTCCAATAGACTGGTAGTGGTAGTCAGGGGACAGGTCAAACTTAATTCCAATAGACTGGTAGTCAGGGGACAGGTCAAACTTAATTCCAATAGACTGGTAGTCAGGGGACAGGTCAAACTTAATTCCAATAGACTGGTAGTGGTAGTCAGGGGACAGGTCAAACTTAATTCCAATAGACTGGTAGTGGTAGTCAATGGACAGGTCAAACTTAATTCCAATAGACTGGTAGTGGTAGTCAGGGGACAGGTCAAACTTAATTCCAATAGACTGGTAGTCAGGGGACAGGTCAAACTTAATTCCAATAGACTGGTAGTCAGGGGACAGGTCAAACTTAATTCCAATAGACTGGTAGTGGTAGTCAGGGGACAGGTCAAACTTAATTCCAATAGACTGGTAGTCAGGGGACAGGTCAAACTTAATTCCAATAGACTGGTAGTCAGGGGACAGGTCAAACTTAATTCCAATAGACTGGTAGCGACATTAAATCAATTGTCTCCTTCACAGGCAACTTCATTAAGTTATCCTTAAAATAGCTTTAATAAATCAACTGTCACTATCTATATTTAAGTTTAGCTTAGAAACAAGATTTACATGTGAAAGATCTGGCCTAAGATATCACAATGTCTCTTCATTGTCTGCCTCTGTTTCTCTAGTATTCCTGTATTAAAGTTTTGTATCATAAGTGTATTTTCACCCAACCTTTCAAAATCATTAATGTTGAATCAGAGTTAAAAAAGTTCATTGGAACTTGGTGAAGGCTTTGGCTTTCACCTGTGTCAGCCATATTGTGACATTGAAAAACTGAATATGTGGTCTAAGGTCAATAACTTGTGTGCTTTCGAAATA